ATAAATATCTCTAATAAGAGTTATGCAAAATTAATCTACATTAGCAGAAATTACTATTTAGTTCAAATTTTATCCACATACAGGTATAATAATTTAAAGTATACCACCTTTAAATTTATGCTTGATTATCAGAGACTGGTAAACTGAGCTAACTGTAAGGCCCTTGATTGTCCCTTGGCTGTTACATTCAACTAAAATTCAAAGATTTATTACTGCAAAATTTGACTTCAGACCATGTGCCATATTAAAAAAAATATATTTTCTTACGTAGTAGGTTAGTAGACAGCAGCCGCCCAGGGATTTACTACCGTCCTGCCAAGTAAGTGTAAGACGAAAGCCTGTAATTGTTTTACATGATGGTAGGATTGCTGGTGTCTTTTTTTTCTGTCTCATAAACATGCAAGATTTCAGGTAGGTCTTGCTACTTCTACTTACATTAAGGTCACACTACACATGCATGTACAAGCATTTATATACACACCCTTCTGGGTTTTCTTCTATTTTTCTTACTAGTTCTTGTTCTTGTTTATTTCCACTTATCTCCATGGGGAAGTGGAACAGAATTCTTTCTCCGTAAACCATGCGTGTCGTAAGAGTCGACTAAAATGCTGGGAGCAAGGGGCTAGTAACCCCTTCTCCTGTATATATTACTAAATGTAAAAGGAGAAACTTTCATCTTTGTTTTTGGGCCACCCCGCCTCTGTGGGATACGGCCGGTGCACTGAAAGAAAGAGAGTAGTAAGGGAGAAAAAGTTAGCATATGAGAAGTTTTTACAAAGTAGAAGTGATGCAAGGAGGGAAGAGTATATGGAGAAAAAGAGAGAAGTTAAGAGAGTGGTGAAGCAATGTAAAAAGAGAGCAAATGAGAGAGTGGGTGAGATGTTATCAACAAATTTTGTTGAAAATAAGAAAAAGTTTTGGAATGAGATTAACAAGTTAAGAAAGCCTAGAGAACAAATGGATTTGTCAGTTAAAAATAGGAGAGGAGAGTTATTAAATGGAGAGTTAGAGGTATTGGGAAGATGGAAGGAATATTTTGAGGAATTGTTAAATGTTGATGAAGATAGGGAAGCTGTGATTTCGTGTATAGGGCAAGGAGGAATAACATCTTGTAGGAGTGAGGAAGAGCCAGTTGTGAGTGTGGGGGAAGTTCTGTGAGGCAGTAGGTAAAATGAAAGGGGGTAAGGCAGCCGGGATTGATGGGATAAAGATAGAAATGTTAAAAGCAGGTGGGGATATAGTTTTGGAGTGGTTGGTGCAATTATTTAATAAATGTATTGGAAGAGGGTAAGGTACCTAGGGATTGGCAGAGAGCATGCATAGTTCCTTTGTATAAAGGCAAAGGGATAAAAGAGAGTGCAAAAATTATAGGGGGATAAGTCTGTTGAGTGTACCTGGTAAAGTGTATGGTAGAGTTATAATTGAAAGAATTAAGATAAGACGGAGAATAGGATAGCAGATGAACAAGGAGGCTTTAGGAAAGGTAGGGGGTGTGTGGACCAGTGTTTACAGTGAAACATATAAGTGAACAGTATTTAGATAAGGCTAAAGAGGTCTTTGTGGCATTTATGGATTTGGAAAAGGCGTATGACAGGGTGGATAGGGGGGCAATGTGGCAGATGTTGCAAGTGTATGGTGTAGGAGGTAGGTTACTGAAAGCAGTGAAGAGTTTTTACGAGGATAGTGAGGCTCAAGTTAGAGTATGTAGGAAAGAGGGAAATTTTTTCCCAGTAAAAGTAGGCCTTAGACAAGGATGTGTGATGTCACCGTGGTTGTTTAATATATTTATAGATGGGGTTGTAAGAGAAGTAAATGCGAGGGTCTTGGCAAGAGGCGTGGAGTTAAAAGATAAAGAATCACACACAAAGTGGGAGTTGTCACAGCTGCTCTTTGCTGATGACACTGTGCTCTTGGGAGATTCTGAAGAGAGTTGCAGAGATTGGTGGATGAATTTGGTAGGGTGTGCAAAAGAAGAAAATTAAAGGTGAATACAGGAAAGAGTAAGGTTATGAGGATAACAAAAAGATTAGGTGATGAAAGATTGAATATCAGATTGGAGGGAGAGAGTATGGAGGAGGTGAACGTATTCAGATATTTGGGAGTGGACGTGTCAGCGGATGGGTCTATGAAAGATGAGGTGAATCATAGAATTGATGAGGGAAAAAGAGTGAGTGGTGCACTTAGGAGTCTGTGGAGACAAAGAACTTTGTCCTTGGAGGCAAAGAGGGGAATGTATGAGAGTATAGTTTTACCAACGCTCTTATAGGGGTGTGAAGCGTGGGTGATGAATGTTGCAGCGAGGAGAAGGCTGGAGGCAGTGGAGATGTCATGTCTGAGGGCAATGTGTGGTGTGAATATAATGCAGAGAATTCGTAGTTTTGAAGTTAGGAGGAGGTGCGGGATTACCAAAACTGTTGTCCAGAGGGCTGAGGAAGGGTTGTTGAGGTGGTTCGGACATGTAGAGAGAATGGAGCGAAACAGAATGACTTCAAGAGTGTATCAGTCTGTAGTGGAAGGAAGGCGGGGGTAGGGGTCGGCCTAGGAAGGGTTGGAGGGAGGGGGTAAAGGAGGTTTTGTGTGCGAGGGGCTTGGACTTCCAGCAGGCAATGCGTGAGCGTGTTTGATAGGAGTGAATGGAGACAAATGGTTTTTAATACTTGACGTGCTGTTGGAGTGTGAGCAAAGTAACATTTATGAAGGGATTCAGGGAAACCGGCAGGCCGGACTTGAGTCCTGGAGATGGGAAGTACAGTGCCTGCACTCTGAAGGAGGGGTGTTAATGTTGCAGTTTAAAAACTGTAGTGTAAAGCACCCTTCTGGCAAGACAGTGATGGAGTGAATGATGGTGAAAGTTTTTCTTTTTCGGGCCACCCTGCCTTGGTGGGAATCGGCCGGTGTGATAATAAAATAAAAAAAAATTTTTTTTATGATGCCCAACTACCTTCCCCAGAATATGAAATGTAAGCAAAAGTAAAGCAAGAGGAGGCAGCAGAGTTAGAGGGAGATAGAAGGGGGGAAAGAGAGGTACTTACATGTTCTAAATTCTTAGGGTACCTCTAAAAATACCTTGGATAGCTACTATTTGTCTGCAAACTAATTTAACATTTGTGCACTGTATTAGTCTTCCAAACATTTGCTTGAATCATGATGTGTGGCTATACGATTAACTTTTTTTATTTAACACTCGGGCATCTCTCACTGAGGTAGCATGACCTAACAAAGGAGAAAATACTTTCACTGTTACCCACTCAATCACTGCCTTGCCAGAAGCCTACTACCATTACAATTCAGATAACCTAAACTGCAACTTCCCCACCCCTCCTTCGGAGTGCAGGCAGTGTACCTCCCACCTCCAGGACCTGGAAGTGTAACTAACCAGTTCCCCTGAATTCCTTTATGAATGTTACCTTTTTCACACCCCATCATCACACCAGATAATAAAAACCATTACCCTCCACTCCTGTTGTATGCTTCAAGTGAAGGGGGTGGCTGTCTTGGTGCCAGTGAAAGGCTCTTGATCCAAGGAATTAGAACTTCCCAGGTGCTGAATAACCTTACAGGTTTACCACCTCACTAGAAATAATTACTGTCCCATTAATTATTTTTACAAAATCAAAATGTGCTAAACCCAAAAGGGTTACGCATGTAAGGTAGGTGGTTAATGATGTACTATGCCAGATTAGGAAATTAAAGGGTTTTAAGATTGCCAGAGCAAAATCATAAGATTGAGGAGCCCCTAAAGTGCAAATAAAATCAAATTTGGTGTAATAAAGGGTTGCGAAAAATCATAGAGGGAGTAAACATAAAAGGGGTTGGCTTTCATGAAAGGTCAGATAAAGTAGGGCATTATGGTGTGGCTGGGGGTTTAAAACCCTGCTGCTGGTGGTGTACTTTGAAAATTTAGATGCCTGTTAAATGATTGCTTGGTATACTTTATGAATGTAATTGGCTTTAACTACTTCATTAAACTAAAAAAACCCTTTGGGGAAAAATTTTAGAAATGAACTGATGGGGGTTTTTAAATTTGGTAGTAGTTAGTAAAGTATTTATTTTCTTTTGTGTGATATTGGGTTTGAAGGGTTTTAATTTTATGTGTGATGTGCTCCATTCCCTGAATCAATCTTGAATGCCTTTCCCTTTCCCCCCCCCGGTGCTCTAGACCCCTATGGGTTTAGTGCTTCCCCTAGAATATAATAATAGCTTACAGCGTGCATGGTGTTTTTTTTTTCATTTCATTTCAAAAGCAGGGGATGTTTTATATTTTAAAGCATTTTGTAAATTCTAAAATTTCCCTTCGAAAAAACCCTGATTTTTAATAAAATACTTAAATCATAATGTGTTAAAAAATATTCAAAAAAGCAGTCATAATAATTTTTAAAATATTTATAGCATGTAAAAAAAGCTTGGTTTTGTATAAAATACGTTGGGAAAGGAATCAGCAGCTTCATTAATTCTATAAAATTAATTTTGAAAATTTTAAAGTCTGTACAGTACAGTACTATGATAACCCTTTGGCATTACTCTATTATACTATATATTTCTGTATGTACTATACCCTCAAGAGGGACCTTGAGGGGTGAGGGGTCTTGAAAAAGGGAAATCGACTTGTGCTAAAATTTCCTTGAATTGAGCCTGAACTCTTCCATACCCCAAGACACTGTATAACCCCAAAGGTTTAGCAATCCCTCATAAATGTAATAATACAATTATATGCCCCATAAAAAATATCTTTTTAGTTTTTTTCGTTTGGCTTGTTTGTGTTTTCCACAGTAAACTTTGGGTAGGAATCTTGGTGTATGGCTAAAATTTTTCCACAAGTGATATTAGATAACTTATGAGTGGGGCAGTGGGATGTGTTTGTGGAAGGTGGAGTGAATGTGTTCTTACCCTTGTGGGTAGTGGTAAAGGGCCCAGTTTGCTGTTTTTTCTTTGATTTGGTACTTGTTGTGGTTTGGTTTTTTCTGGAACATTCGTTTGTGCAGTAAACATTGTACCACCAGTCACAGGTCAGTAATTGCTGGTTGAAAAGGGTACCGTTTTGGACCCATAGGAAGGAATGTTGATGACCATTTGCCTCGCAAAGTGCCACACCTGTTGAAAAAAACTTTTAATCCTATATAAAACAGGCATTTTGATTAAAATTTTTTTCTTGGGAAAATGAAGTTGAATATTGCCCCAATGGTTTTTGATGTACTATTGCCCACTAATAAAGGAAAAATTTATTTCAGCATAGTTTCTAAAACTTCTATTTAAACTATGATATAAAAACACGTCTTGACCACACAGTGAGAAGCTGCCTTTATTAATGAAGGACTCTTTCCCCAAATGAAGGGGGTGGGGGGGTTGGGGGCCTTCATACGTGAAGTCTCTTGATCAAAGGGAAATTGGGGCTCCTTTCCTATCTTTGATCAAAAACCCATTTTTTTTCTTTTTCCTAGGTTTTTATGACCATTAAAGTTTAGTGCTAGTGTAAGAAAAAAATTAATAATAATGGTAATCATATCTAAAGGTTCAGATACTCAACTGACAACCAGCTTCTACATCACTATACAGCCTGCTTATAGGTGTCCTTCAAGAGAACTTGTGGATGGGATAGTGCAAAGCGGGTGATGGGTCCCCGGCTCACCCTCTTGACTCTTCTCCTGAATATAAGGTATAGTAAATATGTGTTACAAGTTCACTGAAATGAATGTTGTTACCCTAAAGATGTTTAGCTTTAGACTTTTCATTGTTGTTGCTTAATCTCATCTACATAAATATTTTTCATGAAAATTGCAGTTTTATAAAACTAAAATTAATAAATCACTGAAGTGAGTACAGTGGTACCTCAGTATATGTCCGCTTTGGAATAAGTCCAACTTGGTATATGTCCTCTTTGGACGTATATCAAGTTTGGAATATGACTCGTGTGTTAGAACTGTATGGGTCAAAATGTTTTTTTACGACCTGCACGCTAAACCCCCTGCACTGCGGCCCAGGCCCTATTATTACCATTGACATACCTTGTTCATTGAATTGAATCGTTTCCAACAACTACCTTTAGATGCCATCATAAGCAAAATAAGTAATGAATAATTCATGCTGAGAATCGTAAACAAAAGTGGAGTGACTAGGCCAATGCAAATTTATACACGTTTCTTTTTTGCTGGGGCCAAGAAAACGTAAAATTTTCCCTCCCCTGGCATATAAACATGCATGTTTATATGTATTAATGTGTTTCGTATATAATTTTGAAGAAATATCATAATGGATTAATGAAAATGTCTATATTTAGTAAATTAGACTTTAAGTCCCAAAAGGGGAAATTTTTTTATGTACTTTAGCAAAGTAAAGTGAGCTTAAAAATTTTCATTTTACTAAATTTTTTGTATTTATGTATTATTTTTTTATTTAAACAAAGTTTAAATTATTTTAATAACTCCTCATGTTAATTGCCAATAAAAATAGGTTTTTTTCATGGGAAAAAGATTTAACCCTTTTAGGGTTTTCGTCGTACTAGTATTTACGGTAGGGGTTTTTGACGTACTGTACTCATAAATTCTAGCGACCTCAAACAGGGGAGAAAGCTGGTAGGGCCCTTATATGAAAGAATGGGTCAGTGGTCAGGGGGCACAGTCTAAAAAAAATCCTGCAGCACCGGTGCATAAAGAGAAAAAAAACCTTTTTTCCATTTTTTTTTTAATAAAAACACGACTTTGCAGGTATTTTGTATGTTTTTTTGTTTTATTCTAGTTTTCTTGGGCTCATTTTTTAGAAAGGAAGACATTACTTCATTTAGATGATTTTGACTGGGGTTTTTTCAATGAAAGGGGCCTTGAAATTTAGCTCAAAGTAGCAGAAATTTCGATTTTTTCCAAACTTCAAAATAAAAAAATCGTGCCAAGCGGCAATGCACTCAATGGTGGTCTAAATTCTTTCACAAGTGACCAAAAATATTATCCAATTTTTTTCACTAATGCAGAGTTGCATAACAGAAATCTTTTAAATTTTTTTTGAGAAAAAAAATTCAAAGTGGAAGCAAAGAAAAAAGGGGGCCCTTTAGACGTGCTAATGACTAGAGGAAATTCTTTTTTTTCCGGAATGCTTTCTTGTTTATTCTGGACCTATTCGGGGAAAAGGGATCTTTGAAATTTGTGTGAAAGGCAAAATTTTAAATTCTGACCCCTGTCTGGGTAGTTGAATTTATAAAGGGTGGTTTTCTTGCACCCATTCGAAGAAAAAATGGAGTTTTTGCGAAATATTTATGTTTTTTTCGTAGTACAGTGAAATTGGCCGAAAAAAGGGGGCCCAAAATGGGGAAAAATCGCCGATCCGAAACTCGCCGAGAACCCCTAACTTTGCGAGAGCTAAATTTCCCTAAAATTTTTTTATCAAATTTCAAACTTTTTGGGGTTTGTTTGATGGGAAAAAATTCTCTATCTTTTCATAAGAGAAAATAATTTTTTTTTTTTTTTAAATTTGGCCGACCCTGAGAACGAGTTTCGGAGAGGGCCTGTCGACCCTCAAAGGGTTAATTGTCTTCCCTATATTTCTTATGGGAAAATTCATTTGATATACAGTGGACCCTCAACCAGCGATATTAATCCGTTCCTGAGAGCTCATCGTTAATCGAAATAATTGTTAGTCAAGTTAATTTTCTCCATAAGAAATAATGGAAATCAAATTAATCCGTGCAAGACACCCCAAAGTATTGAAAAAAAAAATTTTTACCACATGAAATATTAATTTTAATACACACAAACTGAAGAAGACATGCACAGTTACATGACACTTACCTTTATTAAAGATCTGGTGATGATTGATGGGATGGGAGGAGGGGAGACCGTTGATCTTGTTAGTGTTTAGAAGGGTAATCCCCTTCCATTAGCACTTGAGGTAGCAAGTCTTTTTCTGGGGTTACTTTCCTTGTTCTTTTAATGCCACTAGGACCAGCTTCAGAGTCACTGGACTTCTGTCGCACAACATATCTGTCCATAGAGGCCTGTACCTCTCGTTCCTTTATCCTAAAGTGTTCCACAACATTGTCAGTGTAATAGTCACCAGCACGGCTTGCAATAGCTGTGTGAGGGTGATTTTCATCAAAAAAGGTTTGCACTTTAAGCCACATTGCACACATTTCCTTAATCTTTGAAGTAGGCAACTTCTTCAATTTCTCTCTCCCCTCCTCCGAAGCAGTTTCCTCAGGTGTGGCCTCTTACTGTTGAAGATGATCTAGCAGCTCATCAGTGGTTTGTTCTTCATTGTCCTCCTCCACCAACTCTTCCACATCCTCCCCACTAACCTCACCAATATGAGCACTAGTTCCAGGCATTTTTTCCTGTTCACCTGGGTGTTAGTCAACTGTTGTGGGTCGCATCCTGGGGGACAAGATTAAGGACCCCCAATGGAAATAAGTTAGACAGTCCTCGATGATGTACTGACTTTCTTGGGCTATCCTGGGTGGCTAACCCTCCGGGGTTAATCATTTCTCGGTAATTGTTTCACGTTAAGCCACACCAACAACACTCTCCACATCTTCGAGTAATACAGCTGATGGTGGTGCAGCAACAACAACAGCTGACTGTGGTGCAGCAGCAGCTGCACCTTTGGCAAGAACAGCTTCCTTGATTGCCGTTTTCTTACCCACAATAGTAGCGATGGTTGATTGGGGTTTATTATACAACCTGACACACACTCCACTTTCATACTTAGCAATGATCTCTTTCTTCATCTCCATAGTAATTCTCACCCTTTTTGCTGTAGGGTTGGCACTAGAAGCTTTCTTGGGGCCCATGGTGACTTATTTTGCAGGTGCAATCACTACAAAGGCTGTGATAATATGAAATGTTCCAGTTGTTGTATGTTTGGAAGCGACCGCAGTGGCTGGTGCGCTCAGGCCAAAGTGGACGTGTCTCGTACGGACCGAATAGCGCTGTTCGGGTTTTTAAGCGCTAGTTGAGGCAAAATTTTTGCGTTAAAATGTATCGCTAGTCAGATTTATCGTTAATCGATGCCATCACTGGTTAAGGGTCCACTGTACATCCTATTTGGTATAAGTCCAAGGTCCTGGAATGGATTAAGGATGTATATTGGGGTACCTCTGTACTTCAGTACTGATTTACAATACAGTATTGAAAGTAAAACTTAATACGTATATTTCCACATGATGAATCATTTGGATGACATTACATCTCTCACATGGAAAGCCCTTATTACAATATTATAAGCAAATGTAAAAGCAACACTGCAAAAAGTTCTAGATACATTACAGTAGTCCTACATTTACAATACTTTTCATTAAAGTTACAGCAGAACTGATTTTAAGAATACAGTGGACCCCCGGTTAACGATTTTAATCCGTGCAAGAGGGGTAATTGTTATGCGAAATAATCGCTATGTGAATGAATTTTCCCCATAAGAAATAATGGAAATCAAATTAATCCGTGCAAGACACCCAAAAGTATGAAAAAAAAAATTTTACCACATGAAATATACATTTTCCCACACACAAAGAGAAGGATACATGCACAATAGTAGAGTAGTACATGCACAGTATATATTGTGCATGTACTAGTCTACTAAATGAAGAATAAATGACACTTACCTTTATTGAAGATGCAGCAATGACTGATGAGACACTGTGTCCTGGGAGTGCCTTTTCCTCCTGAGTACTGTAGGTCCTGTTTGGCATTTTCTTCCAGAACAGGCCTTATCACACTGTGTATGCCACTACGATTCTTAAATCTCTCAAACCAACCTTTGCTGGCTTTAAATTCACCAATATGAGCACTAGTTCCAGGCATTTTTCCCTGTTCACCTGGGTGTTAGTCGACTTGTGTGGGTTGCATCCTGGGAGACAAGATTAAGGACCCCAATGGAAATAAGTTAGACAGTCTTCGATGACACTGACTTTTTTGGGTTATCCTGGGTGGCAAATCCTCTGGGGTTAATTGTTTCTTGGTATTCTCAATAAGCCACACCAACAACGGTGCTACAGCAGCAGCAGCAGCTGACAGTGCAGCAGCAGCAGCAGCTGACAGTGCAGCAGCAGCAGCAGCTGTACCACCAATAGTAGCGATGGTTGATTGGGGTTTATTATACAACCTGGCCGGCTCGGAGACATGCACTCCACTTTCATACTTATCAATGATCTTTTTCTTCATCTCTATTGTAATTCTCACCCTTATTGCTGTAGGGTTGGCACTAGAAGCTTTCTTGGGGCCCATGGTCACTTATTTTCCAGAAAAAGCACCGAAAACACTGTAATAATACGAAATATTCCGATTGTATGCTTGGATGTTACCGCGGAGGCTGGCTGGTAAACAATGCCACCGGCGGAACATGTGAGCGTGGCTCAGGCCGCACATTGGACGCGTCTCGGACGAAAATCGGTAAGCGGGTTTTTAAGCGGTATGTGAGGCAAAATTTTTGCAATTAAAGTAAGCGGTATGCGAAATAATCGCTATGTGATGCCATCGTTATGCGGGGGTCCACTGTACTGAATAATTACCGACTCCAGACACATACAGTACTTGCAAAAGAAAGCACAGTACCGTATACACTGAGTTATATCATGCTGATTGTGTGTAGGTATACATTAATATACTGTGTTCATTTATGGCAATTTTCATGCAAGAACTACCATTGTCTAGTAATATGTAGGATTATATTTTTATGTAGGTATAGTCCCCTCAAGGAAGGTTCCTTGATGCTGATGAGGGGCTCTTGATCTAGGGAATTGGATCTGTGCTCCAGTTCCCTGAATTAAGCTTGAATACCTTCACATCCCCCCCCCCCCCACAGGCACTGTATAATCCTATGGGTTTAGTGCTTTCCCCTTGATTATAATAATAATAATGTAGGTATAGTGCTTTCCTGCAAATAATACTGTATAACAAGAATAATAATAATAATAATGTTTATACCTACTGTAGGTTGTGAGTGGGACACCATTCTGGTGTGGTTTGTGAGTTTTCTTAGCAGGTCTCTGCAGAAGATGAACAAGAGTGTGTGCCTTTTTTTTTTCTTTATTCTTGGATGCTGGTGAGTCTTTAAGATGCAAATAAGCTTTATTTATTTTGTATTTTTCAACTTTAGGATATTTCCTGTTGGAAAAAATGTATGTCTGTGTTTGATTCAGGTGTGACAGTGGTGGTGAAGACACTAGTAGCAGTGGCACTCTAGCAGAATGTGACAATGGACGATGATGGTGAGGTTCCTCACTGAAGTATGGTAGAAGTGACAAGGATACCTTACCCACTGAACAATTTGATGGGAAAGAGTTTGTGTGATTCAGTGTGGTGTTACCAATGCTTGGAAGGCCTGTGTGTGGGAGAAGGCTAGGCTGTTGCTGTTGGGGTGATACCAAGAATCGTCCATAAGTCCAGTGATCTGACACTTTGTTATGACGCTTTGTTATTTGCCTCTCTCTCACTGAGGCTCTACCATAGCTATCCTCTTTCCTGATGACCTTCCTAAGTAAAAACAGAGGTGTAGTGATCACCACTGGGACAGAAGGGAGAGCTTTCTCCTCTGGGACTGCTGCTGTTGGTAAAGCTATTTTAGATTCTACCTCCCTCTCTTTCTCTGACATATGTATCTGTGCAGATTTCTTATTGTTAATGTGTGCAAACATAAATCTAGACCTGTTACTAAGTAAGGATGTGGAAGTAACACTTAGCTTCAAGAGTTTGCTTGCTAATGTTGGACTAGATGACTGCTCCTTTGCTTGAAATTGCTTTGACATTCTTGTTTCTTGCATAGCATCCTTATGCATACACGTATGAGTCTTTGCATTGTGTTGCACCTTTAACTTGTTTCTTTTTCCTGCATTTTTCACCATTGCAAACCTTGTGTCACTTGCCTTAATATTTTTCCTAATTAAGTCCTCCATTATGTATTGCCTGTTTTTTATTAATGTCTTCATTGATTTCATACTTGGTATTTTTCCATTTTCCTTCTTTTTTGTTGCATTCATCATACAGGCTATCATTCTGGTATTGCACAGTAGGGGATACAAAAAAACATGAGCATACTCTAGAGGACACAGCGAACCATCCAGTGGTTCTCTATTGCCTTGGGAAGAATACATAATAGTACTGGAAGTATCCATCTGTGATAATGTAGGATCATACAACAGGACTGATGGAGAATATTGGTGTGTGTGGGCCAGAGTGTGTGAGGTGACAAATGCAGAATACCACTCTAGGTAGGAATCACAATTTCTCAGCAGTGGTTGGATATTATTACTCAACAGGTTATGTGTGTGTCTTCGTAAAGTTGTTCTTGTACTCCTATATATGTCCATTTCATCATCACTGCTGCTGCTACTATTAGGCACTGTCACTGTTGTCTTAACTGCAGCCTTAGAAGAGAATGAAATATGTATTAAAATATTTATATATAACATAGTGTTCTAGTATGAATAATTTAATTTAGAGATTTTCCAACACTAGAGCAACATGTCCTCAACCTCAACAAGAAAACAACAGTTTACATATTCAGGTTCAAGTGTAAAGTTGAATACAGACTCTATGGGTTTAGTTCTGTCCCAATAATAATAATAATAATAATAAGGTGGCATTGATGGGTTTGCAAATCACTGGAAACAAGAGTCTGATTAACCAGGCAATCAACAGGAAAATTAACCAGCCTCAGGCTGAGCTGTAGAAGTTAAAGATCTCTTATAAACCAGTCTCACACTCCACAGAGAGTGCCTTGATATTGGCGAGAGGCTCTTAAGCCAAGGAACTGGAGTTATCCTCCTTTCCATGGATCAGAGCTTATTACCTAATTCCTCAAACACTGAATGACTCTCTATAGGTTAGTGCCTTCCCATGATAATAATACTGCGTGGATTATGAGACGAGTTGCTGCAGCTGAAAATTGGAGCAATGGATGATGTGGATTTTCACAATGCATATACATACTATATATTATTTACTCCACTAGCACACCTTCTTCATAGCATGGCACTCATTACATGACAGCTGATACTAACTTTATTACCTGACCTTCCATCTAACCCAACTTGGCAGGCTAACCAAAATGGAAACAAGTCACACTGACTTTTGTAGTTATCCTAGGTTAAAGCTACATCATACCCCATCAGTATATGCCTAAAATTATTGTGGTTATTGAAACCATTGAAGAACTACAATAATCTGTATAACCATGTGGAGAACATAAACGAAGTTTACCTCGATTTAAGAGATGGTTAAAGACATTTGTGCAGAGTGGAATGAGGTGCAAACTTTTGTTGAAAAATATCACCCTGACCAAGCTGATACAAGTCGTATCTACGTGTTCATTTTAGGCCCATTTCAGGCATTTTTGCCCATTTTAGGCAAATCTTAACCCTTTGACTGTCGCGGCCGTATATATATGTCTTACGAGGTACCGTGTTTGACGTATATATACTCATAAATTCTAGCGGCTTCAAATCAAGCAGGAGAAAGCTGGTAGGCCCACATGTGAGAGAATGGGTCTGTGTGGTCAGTGTGCACCATATAAAAAAATCCTGGAGCACGCAGTGCATAATGAGAAAAAAAAAACTCCGACCGTTTTTTTTAATTAAAATGCCGATTTGTGGTCTATTTTCGTATAGTATTTATGGTTGTATTCTCGTTTTCTTGGTCTCATTTGATAGAATGGAAAACATATTATAGAAATAGAGGTGATTTTGATTGATTTTACTTTAAAAAGAACCTAGAAATGGAGCTCAAAGTAGGGGAAATGTTTGATTTTTGCCAATGTTCAAAAGTAAACAAATGATGCCATTGTCCAATAAATGTCCAACTAGCCATTCTAATATGCAGTCATGAATGGGTTGATGTTATTTATACAATTATTACAGTATTGCAGTAGTCTGCATAATAGTAAGTCTATTTTTTGTTTGAATAAAAATTCAAAATAGAGAGCAAGAGTAATATCAGAGGGGCCTGGAGACATGACTGATGAGCAAAGAAAATGTTATTTTAGAGCCAAGAATGTCTGCATTGTTCATTCTGGGCCTTATTTTGAAATTGTCATATTTTTTAGTTTTCGTGAAATTGGCCAAATTGCAAATTTCTGACCACATTATTAGGTAGTTGAAATCGGTAAATGGGCAGTTTCTTGTACTCAATCGATAGAAAAAAATGGAGTTCTAAAGAAATAGCTATGAGTTTGGGCGACTGGAACAATGGAATTAGCCGAAAATAGGGCTCAAAGTGGGCGAAATCGCCGATTTGTAAACAGCGTCGAGGTCGCTAACTTCGCGAGAGCATAATTCCGTCAGTTTTCCATCAAATTTCGTTTTTTATGGTGTCATTACAATCTGGAAAAGATTCTCTATCATTTCATAAGAAAAAATATTTTTTTTTTTTTTAAATTTTGCGACACCAGGAGTCACCTCAGGATTGGGGGTTGCGACAGTCAAAGGGTTAAAGAGACGCCAGAAACAGAGCTCTCTGGACAGATTTTTAGTGCGACAGGGGTCTAGTGGCAGTAAAAGATAAAGAAGGTAAGTAACCCCAGGGAGGGCTTTGATACCTGAAGTCATTATGGAGGGGGATTGCCTTTCCAAACAATACCCTCAACTCCCTCTCCCCTCCTCGCCTTCTTCAATACACCAACAAGAGTCTTCAATGAAGGTATGTAATGTTCATTTATCATTAAAATTTGTGTTTTATATTTATTTCTCATTGTTTTCTGTATGTAAAACTATAGTTATTCATTAAAAAAAAAAAAAAAAAATTGTGAATATTTTTGGGCGTCTGGAATGGATTAATTGGATTTACATTATTTCTTGTGGGAAATATTACTTCAGTTTTCGTACGTTTCAGATTTAGAATGACCTTCTGTTACAGATTAATTATGAAATCCAGGGTTCCACTGTAGTATACATACTTAAGTCCCTCAATAAAAAACATCTGTAGGAAAAGCAATTCAGACAGGGCATAATAACAAAAGAACTAACAAAACAATACACCTCAATACTTACTAATCTAATATGGAAGTCCAAACAAGTGTATTATGTAAACAGATTTAATGAAATAAAAGGTGATATGAAAAAGACCTGGATAGCCCTATCTGAAATTTGGGCTCTAGAAAACTGTCTAGAAACAGAGAAATTAACTCAGCAAAACCAGATGACTCGCACATACAGTCTATAGACACTGCCAACAAACTTAATGTCTTCTTTCTACTACTATAGGATCAAAACTAGCAAGAAAAATCCCAAACACACATAGTCACAAGACTACCTCACTAGTAATTACCCACATAACTCACGAAATCATAATGACAGGATTGCAAACAAACCATACCACGGGCGGGGATAGAATTACCCACATACTCTATATCTAGCACCAACAAATCCTACTGAAGTCTCACTAATAATTAAATCCGCTGTATAGCCCTTGTGGCTTAGCGCTTCTTTTTTATTATAATAATAATAATAATAATTAAATCATTAAAAAACAAGGCAGGAGACCTAAATAACTTGCCACCAATCATGTATAAAAAAGCAGCTCATATGTTGTCCCCCATTATTGCAACACTATTTAACAAATCTGTTGAATCTTCAACATTCCCATCTTTACTCAAGACAGCAAGGGTCACCCCGATCCTCAAAGGAGATGATCCTACAGGACTAAATAACTACAGACCAATATCTAACTTGCCTTTACTCCTAAAAATCTTCAAAAAAAATAATATGTAAACAAATCTACAACTCTCTCCTATCCCATAACATACTGAACCCCTGATCGTTTGGGTTTAGGCCCCTCAAGGAAGGTTCCTTGATGTTGGTGAGGGGCTCTTGATTTAGGGAATTGGATCTGTGCTCCAGTTCCCCGAATTAAGCCTGAATGCCTTCCACATCCCTCCCCCCAGGCGCTGTATAATCCTCCGGGTTTAGCGCTTCCCCCTTGATTATAATAATAATAATTGGGTTTAGGCCGAAAAAAAAGCACAAATGATGCAATTATTCAGATGCTTGAATTACTGTATACAGCACTTGAAAAAATGAATATCCTCTGGGGCTCTTCATAGACCTAAGGAAAGCATTTGATACAGTAGACCACAATATCTTGCGCCTAAATCTAGAGCATTATGGGGTCAGAGGACACTCTCAATTACCTAAAACCTTATCTTAGTGAGACACCAGTATGTATACACAAATGGCGTGACCTCCAATATTCAGCCTGTAGTTGTTGGAGTATTACAGGGAAGTGTGGTAGGTCCTCTTCTCTTTCTTATTTACATCAATGACCTCCCAAATGCATCACAATTCCTTAAACTAGTTCTATTCGCAGATGACACCACTTACGTCTTCTCCCACCCAAACCCAGCTATACTTAGTAACACTACATAAAATATCAAACTGAATGACGACGAACAAATGGACTCTCAATATAGAGAAAACCTACTTCATTCTTTTTGGAAACAGCATTAAGTATCCAACTAAACATATCTATAAATGGTTCACCCATTACAAGACACTGAGGGCAAATTTCTAGGTCTCCACTTTGACTGTACTCTTAAATTTCAGACCCACCTTAAGCGTATAACTAAAAAAATTTCTAAAACAGTGGGCATCCTTTCCAATATACAATACTGTGTACCTCAAATGGAGCTCCTTACTTTATATTACTCCCTGATATACCCTTACCTCACCTATGGTATTTGTGCTTGAGGATCTACCACAGCCAATCACCTTAAACCTTTAATAACCCAACAAAAAGCTGCTGTGCAGATGATCGCAAACTCCAGTGCCAGACAACACACCCCACCACTCTTCAAGAGCTTGAACTTACTTAATATACAAAATATACACACATTATTGTGCCTACTATATATATACAGAACATTAAACTCTAATATCAACCCTCCACTCAAATTTCTAGACAGCTTCAACAGAACACACAGGCATAACACAAGGCACAAAACACTTTTTGACATCCCTCGTGTCTATCTCACACTATGCAAAAATGCAATGCACATAAAGGTCCTGATGATCTGGAACTCTTTACCCGAAGCAGGAAGAGGTCCCCTGCTCACAAATCAATTTAGGACTAAAAAATCATTTCATCTCTCAATAACAATCATACCCACACTATGCTATCTCGAACCAAATTTGAAGCAACTCTCCCAAATATTTTATTATCCCTTAACTATTAAGCCATTATTACAGACTTAAAAATGTATGTCTGTATCATAAATTGTACTACCTCATATTAATATTAGAGTAAAATATTGAATATTTGTAATCTACAACTCTTCACCTGTCTAGACTTAAGTAGCCTTTAAGTATTATGTTAAGTCTGCCTGAAATGCCTCGGCATGATAGTGGCTTCCTTTGTACCAATCAGATTATGAAATGTAAACACACATTGTAACCTTTGCAAAGAAATAATTTTTTTATTTGATTTGATAAACCTGTATGCTGGAGGCTCAATTCTCTGTTGGGCAAGCACTAGATAAAATGTACACTACCACCTTTCAGTACACCATACACTTTTTCTTTATGCAAGAGATAAAGTGGTGTTACTCACCTGGTCTGATGCGTGGAAGTGTGGGTACCTCTGCGACCCCTGTGTCATTGATGACCCTGTTGTAAGTTTATGAAGTACTTGGAGTGAGTGATATAGTCTACATAAGGAACAGTAGTATTTTTTGGTAATTAGTTGTGGAGGGGGTTTGCTCTCTCTCTCTCTCTCTTCCCTTTCTCTCTTCCCTTTCCATTCTCTCTCTCTCTCTCTTCCCTTTCCATCTCTCTCTCTCTCTCTCTCTCTCTCTCTCTCTCTCTCTCTCTCTCTCTCTCTCTCTCTCTCTCTCTCTCTCTCTCTCTCTCTCTCTCTCTCTCTCTCTTCCCTCTTTTTTCCATACCTCATATCCCTCTCTTTTTATTGCTCTTTCCCCTCTCCCTCTTTTTCCTTTTTCCCCTCCCTCTTCTCTCTTTTCCCCTCTTCCCTCTTTTCTCTCTTTTTCCCCCTCTCCTTCCCTCTTTCCCTCATTTCTTCCCTCCTTCCCTTTCTCATTCTCTCCCTCACTTTCCCCTTCCCTCCCTCCCTCTCTCCTTTACCTTTACATGGGTGTCTTGTAACTATGAAGGGCTCTTACTCCGTCATTACAGCTGCCCTGTGTAAGTACTTCCTAAGATCAAACTTGATGACCTCCCATTCCCCAGCTGCTGTATGATATCTACGGATTTAGCTATAGCGCTTTTTCATGAGTATTGTAAAGTAGATTTTTTAAACTACATTATTATTATTATGATTTATGTGGAAGTGCTAAACCTGTAAGAATGCCTTGGTAATGGGAGGCAATCATATCTGATCCAAGAAAGAGGAGGTCCCTTCAAATCCCACGGATCAAGAACCCTCCACTAACAACATTCTTGGTAAGTGATTATTCAACCCATCATAAGCAACAGTCAGAATTCATATTGTATATAAATAACTTACGCTCACAGAATTTTTAAGCAAATTCCTCTATTTACATTATTTATAGTTAGGTTTGTAACAATCAAAATTAAAAATAATAACATGCATGCAATGAGGATGAGACGGATTAGGCCAAAGTTACTCTTAAATTTCCTTAAGCTTGGTTAACGTTTCCACTTAATCCAGCTAATATTGTACATTTTAAGACCAGAACATATACTCTACATTAACCCTGTACGTATTACTATAACTTGCAAGGAAGAACAACTCACCGGTGATGGAGAGGCCACACACCAGTAATAATACTAGTAGCAGATGTTGCATGCTGCACCTGCAATATAACACCTGTGGTTATATCTCCGCCACGTCTTGTGAGAGGTTTGTGGGACGCTCTTGATGCAAAGAACTGGTTCCGTCGTAACCCTTCCTTAGATCGATCTTGAATGATTTTAATTCCACCAGACGTATGAATCCTCTAAGTTAGCTCCCAGCCATTCCCCCGAATGTAATAATGAAATACTGGCATACATACACAACACAACCACATTATTTGAATATGTAAATGACATGAAAGGGGAAAAGGTTACAGGTATCCCTGCTAGATCTAAAACTAATGAGAATACAAACGGGTGAGGATAAGACAATAAATTGTTCAGGACAGGTTGTAGGCCGGATCTAACAGGTGACTGAATTTAACTCTAGCAAAGGTAGTTATGAAAATTGGGAATTGGCCAAGACCGTAATTGAAGAACAGGCTTGAAATGAGAGAGGGGATTGCAAAGGCTGTAATCCTCACTTAAGGACTTGGGAGTGAGCATAGTATAAAGTATATCTCCTGAAACACACGTCAACTGAATAACTTTGCAGCAAAGGTACGGTGCGTTGGGCGCATCAAACTTTAGCTTTCAGGAACCTCAGCAAGGAGCTATTCACGACATTATATACGACATGTCAAGCCCACGTTGGAGTATACATCACCAATGTGGAACCCACACTGATCGTTCATGCCAAGACACTGGAGAAGATGCTGAAATTTGTGACGAGACCAGTCCTGGAGCTAAGGAATAACTTGTTTTTAGCATACCTTAGATTAATGACAAGAAGGGAGAAGAGTGAATGGGAAAGGATGAAATAATGGAAATAGGTTGTGGGAAAATAATAAAGAGGAGAAGGAGGGAAAGGATAATTTCCTAACCGCTCTTGATTGAAAGTAAGGTAAATTTTATTGTGCCACCCCTAAAAAGAGGTTCCTTTATGCTGGTGAGGGTATGAAGCCCACTGTTAATAAAGGATCCAATTATACTGCATTTGTGTTGGTATTTTATACCATTTCCTTCCATCGTATATGCACATACATGTGTATGCCTGTGTATTTATGCTGATAATTTACTTTAATCCCTTTAGTCCCAGGTAAACTCCAGGTAATTGGTAAACAGGTTACATGTAGCCTTAATGACCCTTTGTATAGTCGATATTCCTTAAACCCCAGTAACCAACCTTGTGTTGAGAAATCTCACTCTCCTGGATGGAGGTCTGTACACCCACAGGTGCATGTCTCGTTGTTTACTGTAGTCTCTATACTAGGAGTTACGGTATTCTTTGATAGTGTTTAGTTTACCCTGATTGCTAATGATATCCAGCGGATGAAGAACTGGAAACAGAAAGAGACCAATTTGAAGAAGTTATTAAGACCAGTCAATGACAATGGTAGACTACAGCGAGGGATAAAATGTGATAGCAAACGTAGCCAGGATCAAGAAATGGGTAAGAACAACGCAGCTTACGTTGTGATGAGAATACAGCAAAATGGTGCGGACATGGTACATTGTACAGTGACGAGAACAGGCCATCATTACGTCTAAGGTATATACAATATCTATAAATTGATGACCTAAGACCAGTACTTGGATATCTTTATTGGAGAAAAATTTCGTTTGTGCCTTAGCAGTCTTTTATCAATTACACATAGAAGCATGAAGATGGAAACACCTACTGGAGTTAGAAGCAAGGTGCAGCAGTAGAAGACATCATCACGTGTGGGCAGAACCAACTAGTGGAGGTAGATCAGTCCCATTAAATGGTCCACAGTTTAGCAATGGAGTTGCAGATGTGGAGAAATGCAGCAGTTGAAGATATGGTCACAGGTACATGGAACCCACTAGTTGAAATGGGTCATGCCATAATGTGGGCCAGAGGTTAGCAATAAAATTGTAGAAGATATCTGTACCAAGATTCCATAGTGTTCCTGTGGCTGTCAGGTATCATTACATCAGAGGCATACAATACCTACTTCTACAAGTGAGTCACACTCACCTGTGACCACACCTTCAACTGCTGCATCTCTCCTCATCTGCAATTCTATTGCTAAATATATGGCTCACCTTATAGACCTGACTTGTCTCATTTGGCCCTGCCCACGTGTGACGATGGCTCCACTATGTAAGTTTTCAATCTTCGTGCATCCGTGTGAGATTGATAAATCCTGCTGTGCAGGGAAAATATTTCTTTCATAAAGATGTTGCAGAAGTGTCTCATTCGTCTAAACTAGGAAAACATACTGTGACATGAACAGAACAACATATAAAGTGCTGTAATTTCATTACAAATGGACTTCGTTCCGGCCCTATAAAACAAAAAAAACTATAACCCACTTTAAATCAAACCTCCCCTGTGCTGTATGACGCCGACGAGTTTAGCGCTTCTCCGTGAATGTATTAGTAACACTAAAATAACGCACTGGGTGAGGCTGAAGAGTTGGCGTCTCAATCTTGATAAAATATATTGAGGTGTGAGCGTCTCGACACTGCTTGTTTCCCTCCCCTTTACTTCACTTTATATACCCAGCCACGCCCACTACCCACCATGGCCACGCCTCATGCCAAGGCCAAGTGGAACATCAGCTTGAAATAAGTTTAAGTATTACTATTGACTTTTCAGCTTTATTATGGTGCCGCAACAGTCATGAGGCAGTAGTAACTTAAGTAGTTTAAACAACACATTCACAGCAACATTTCTTCATTTTACTACGTCAGCGTTTTAACGTAATATTCAGCGTTGTTACAAAGCTTTCATATTTTTTAAATGCTATTTTTCTTTAATTTTCTGTATATGACTGGAGGCTTCCAAAGCAAGTAGGTGGAATGTCAAGCGGGCAGGTAGGCAGCCAGCAAGCAGTCAGTCATGCAGGCATCCAGTCGAGTATGCTGCCAGGCACGCAAGCAGCCAGTCAAGCATTGTTAAGCAAGCAAGCAGCTGGTCAGGTAGGCAGTCAGTCAAATACGATGCGGCAAGCAGCAGGCAGGCCAGTCAAGCATGCTGCGGCAAGCAAACATGCTGCCAGGATAGCAAGCAGCCAGTCAAACATGCTGCCAGGACAGCAAGCAGCCAGTCAAACATGCTGCCAGGATAGCAAGCAGCCAGTCAAACATGCTGCCAGGATAGCAAGCAGCCAGTCAAACATGCTGCCAGGATAGCAAGCAGCCAGTCAAACATGCTGCCAGGATAGTAAGCAGCCAGTCAAACATGCTGCCAGGATAGCAAGCAGCTAGTCAAACATGCTGCCAGGATAGCAAGCAGCCAGTCAAACATGCTGCCAGGATAACAAGCAGCCAGTCAAACATGCTGCCAGGATAACAAGCAGCCAGTCAAACATGCTGCCAGGATAGCAAGCAGCTAGTCAAACATGCTGCCAGGATAGCAAGCAGCTAGTCAAACATGCTGCCGATAACAAGCAGCCAGTCAAACATGCTGCCAGGATAACAAGCAGCCAGTCAAACATGCTGCCAGGATAACAAGCAGCCCGTCAACATGCTGCCAGGATAACAAGCAGCTTAGTCAACATGCTGCCAGGATAACAAGCAGCCAGTCAAACATGCTGCCAGGATAACAAGCAGCCAGTCAAACATGCTGCCAGGATAGCAAGCAGCCAGTCAAACATGCTGCCAGGATAACAAGCAGCTAGTCAAACATGCTGCCAGGATAACAAGCAGCCAGTCAAACATGCTGCCAGGATAACAAGCAGCTAGTCAAACATGCTGCCAGGATAGCAAGCAGCCAGTCAAACATGCTGCCAGGATAACAAGCAGCCAGTCAAACATGCTGCCAGGATAGCAAGCAGCCAGTCAAACATGCTGCCAGGATAACAAGCAGCCAGTCAAACATGCTGCCAGGATAGCAAGCAGCCAGTCAAACATGCTGCCAGGATAACAAGCAGCCAGTCAAACATGCTGCCAGGATAAGCAGCCAGTCAAACATGCTGCCAGGATTGCAAGCAGCCAGTCAAACATGCTGCCAGGATAACAAGCAGCCAGTCAAACATGCTGCCAGGATAACAAGCAGCCAGTCAAACATGCTGCCAGGATAAGCAGCCAGTCAAACATGCTGCCAGGATAACAAGCAGCCAGTCAAACATGCTGCCAGGATAACAAGCAGCTAGTCAAACATGCTGCCAGGATAACAAGCAGCCAGTCAAACATGCTGCCAGGATAACAAGCAGCCAGTCAAACATGCTGCCAGGATAGCAAGCAGCCAGTCAAACATGCTGCCAGGATAACAAGCAGCTAGTCAAACATGCTGCCAGGATAACAAGCAGCTAGTCAAACATGCTGCCAGGATAACAAGCAGCCAGTCAAACATGCTGCCAGGATAACAAGCAGCTAGTCAAACATGCTGCCAGGATAGCAAGCAGCCAGTCAAACATGCTGCCAGGATAACAAGCAGCCAGTCAAACATGCTGCCAGGATAAGCAGCTAGTCAAACATGCTGCCAGGATAACAAGCAGCCAGTCAAACATGCTGCCAGGATAGCAAGCAGCCAGTCAAACATGCTGCCAGGATAACAAGCAGCCAGTCAAACATGCTGCCAGGATAACAAGCAGCCAGTCAAACATGCTGCCAGGATAAGCAGCCAGTCAAACATGCTGCCAGGATAACAAGCAGCCAGTCAAACATGCTGCCAGGATAACAAGCAGCTAGTCAAACATGCTGCCAGGATAACAAGCAGCTAGTCAAACATGCTGCCAGGATAGCAAGCAGCCAGTCAAACATGCTGCCAGGATAACAAGCAGCTAGTCAAGCATGCTGCCAGGATAACAAGCAGCCAGTCAAACATGCTGCCAGGATAGCAAGCAGCCAGTCAAACATGCTGCCAGGATAACAAGCAGCTAGTCAAACATGTTGCCAGGATAACAAGCAGCCAGTCAAACATGCTGCCAGGATAGCAAGCAGCCAGTCAAACATGCTGCCAGGATAACAAGCAGCCTGAATGTCAAGCAGGCAGCATTATTGACTGGCAGCATGCTGCTAGGCAAGCAAGAGCCAGTCACGCATGCTGCCAGGCAAGCAAACAACCATTCAGGCAAGCAGTCAGGCACACAAACAGCCGGGTAGACAGGCAGGAGGGCGAGCCTGCTTCCAGCTTGTGGTCAAAGTTGGGCAACACAGCAGGTACGGCGGGAAATAACAAAATAATGCTATTGATGGTAACTGAAAGAAACAGCGGTGAAGGGCAGGAATGTTGTGTCACTGGAGGTCATGATGTCGGTGATGGGCTCCTGATGGAAGGAATTGGAGCTGCTCTCCCCTTCCTTAGATCTATATTTCATTGTTTTACATAGTACTAA